CTGCTATTAGAAAATCTTTTTCTTTTAAATAAATAAAAGGCCAAATAAATTTTGGATCTCCCTAACAACATGGTATCGTTTGTGGCAGAGAGCTTGACAGTGTCTTCGAGTCTCCTGTTCTTGGTAATTGTCTATGTTCCAGAACTGAGAAGAAGGTTCTAACCTCATGACTCTGGCTGATGTCAGTGAGGCCAGAGTTTCTAAACCACCCCCACACACCACTAAAACTGTGTCTGCAAACAGAGTCCGGGACAACTTGGTAATAAGCTGAGTGTTTTTCAGGTAGGCACTTGAGTATGTTAGGCAGACATCCACGCGAATTACTCAGTGGAGACTTAAGCCCTATTACAGACCACATTATGATTTCAGCTCATGAGAGGTTTGGGGACCTGTCTCAGCTGAAAGTGAATTTGTATGAAAAGTTGTTTTTTAGAAGTACATTTTATTATTACATCTGCATGCATGGTTCATCAGTTGGAGTTGTCTTTCACATCTCAAATACTGGCCTGAGAACTTGACTTAGACTACTGAAGTCTGTTTAAAAGTGATTTCTTCAGAAAGCGCCTTTGCTTAATTCTCTAGTGTTAGAGCTGACTGGGGAGACAGGTCGTGTCCTGGTGTACTGAGGGGTCGCTTGTAGATCGAAATTAGTGGCAGGTTCTCAGGCAAATCCCACCTCCTTTGTTGCCCATAGAGGTCAAAAACATTATTGACTTTCATTAAAGCAGAGAAGAGAATGCACTTCTGTAATTGGACTAGAAGACAAGAGAGGCTGACTGAAAAATTGTTTTTAATCTATCACAACTATGATTGACTTTAGAAGTTAAGGAAATATTTATAAGGATATCCAAGGAACTTTGGAGGATATTAGAATGTGATGCACTGGGGTTTGGTTTTGGTTTTTAAATACTAGTACAAAGTAGTACATTGATAATGTGACAGACCTATGTATGCCCCACTCAACATGAGGAGGTAGTAACATTTTATTATATTCATTATATACTTATTTTATTAATTCAGATTATTTTTTACTTTTGAAGAAATAAACATTACAGTTGAATCCCCCCATATTTCCCTGCCTAATCCTCTTCCTCACTCCTCAAGGACAAGCACTGTCGTAAATTCAGTGTATATGTAGTCTGTATTTTGTAATTGTATCTCCTACATAAATGTTTTAATTTTTTTTTTGTTTTTAGTTGACATAAATGGTACCATATCTCATTCTGTAATTTGCTTTATTCTCAGCATTAAATCCGGCAGATCCAGAGTATTGAAACTGATCAATCTCTAGACCATTGACTTCTCTTAAATGGTATTCCATTTTATGAATATATCCGATCCGTCCCACTACTAAGTCACTTGGGCCATTTCCAGTTTCTCTCTGTCACAAGCAGAGCTGCAGGGATCCTCCCTGTGCACCAAGGGAATCGCTAAGTCGTCAGGCGGGCACCTTGTCAGCTTAGCTGCATGTTGCCAAGTTGCTGTCCGAAGCGGAGGAACCAGCTTCTCCGTCTCTCGGCGGATGCTGGGAGTTCCCGCATGACCGCTTCCTCACCAGTACCTGGACTGGGCAGGCTTCTATTTTATCCGACCTGGATGGACACGGAATGGTATTTCTCTGCTGTTTCAGTTTGCATTTCTGATTTCTAGAGCGATCAGGCACCGTTTTGTGTTGGGAACGGCCTGTACACGGTCTGCGTGACTTTTCTGTTGCGATCTTTGTCTTTTTCTTACTGGTTTATGACGAGTCTTTAACACTGTCAGGACCGTGATTGTGAGTGGCAGTACATGTAGTTTCATTTCAGAATGTGTGGTTTTCCTTGTCTGGCATATGGATTTGTTAGCTTTCCTCATATGCTTATCTTCCACGTTTTAAAGCGTATTTTGTTAAGTAGAAGGGACAAACCAGAGGTTCTCCTGAGAGGGGACAAGGAGGAATGGGGTTAAAGAAGAGGTATCTGAAACACTTTAGCTGAGCAGGGATTTGTGAAAGACAGAGGAAAGGTGGCGAGGGGAGCCTGTGCGTGAGAGGGAGGACGGGCCACCTACGACCTTGGAATTGGTGGGGGGGGCTCTGTGCTCCCTGGCATCTGCATAGCAGGCACCCCGAGTAAGGATAGCACGCAGACGGGGGACTGTGTCTGTCTTACTAGAACATGACTGTAGGAATTGTCTCGACTACCATATCGAGCTTCTCGCTGTGGGTACAGCAGCTTGGAGCACCTGCCCACCTCTCCCCGCTCTTCAGACATCTAGTGCTTACTGTGGGCCGGGAACTGGGCATAGGGATCTAAAAATTGTAAAAGACAAAGTGAGACTCCCTCAAGGAGTTTTCTGTCCAGTGGAACAGAGTGGCCAGTCCAGTACTGTGATGGAGGCCAGTGTGGAATTCCAGAAGAGCAGCGGTGGGAAGTCTTTTCTTTCCCAGGGGAGTCAGGACTTCATTGAGGTGAGTCCTGCCGACCCAGTCAGAGAAAGGGACACAAGCACAAAAGACTGTTTGCTTGGGGCTCACAGGCACGACCAGAACACAGTGAGCATCTGGAAGTTCATGCATGGCAGGCCATGTCGAGCCAAGTGGGAAATTTGAGCTTTACCCTAAAGCTGATGGGAGCCGCCGAAGAGTGTCTGGGAGGTGAGAGGCCAAAAACAAAGTTAAGTACAAACCAGTGAAGACATACGGTCCAGCCCACCTGTTGCCTCTTTGGGACTTCCCTAGAAGACTGCTGGCTGGGGAGGCATGAAGTCTCCAGCACGGCTTCCCTGGGGTCTGGGTCCTGGAATAGGACGTTGCGTGAATGCAAACAAGGGCAGAGCTACACTGGCATCTCAGGAGTTGCCTGGATTTCTGCGTGTGGTTCTACTGTTTCTCTCAGTAGTAAAACAGTGACTTCTTTATCAAAATTGATCCTTATTTTCAAGTCACAGAGAACTGGACAAATTAATGAGAGCCAGTGGTTTCCGGTTCTTTAGAGAAACCTCCTCCAAGTGTTTACTTTTCCTCATTAGAATGAGTCACTCCCCAGGGGTCTCTTTCCTTATGCCCAGAAAGGGACATTGCTGAGAAACCCCAGCATTCCTGGTCAGTGGCACATAACGTCTCTCTCACCACCGACTTCTAGAGAAGCTCACCGCTCACATGGGGGTGACCGCAGGCGGTAGACATGACAAGGACCATAGCATCCAGATCACTCCCTTGCCATCTGCTCCTGGAGGAGAACACAGGGCGGGGCAGGAATAGAGTTTTGACTGAGTTACTTCTGGTATTTTCCTCTTTTTGGTACCAACGTTAGCCTTTCTCAGCAGAGCCTCTCCACGTCCTGCCATTGGTAAAGGAACTTCAGTGTCTCTTCAGGTTTGTTAACAGAAAGGTGACTAGAGAGTGAATGTCACGAGGGGTAAAGCCAGAAGAGGTCAGCTAGATGGGGACAGAGGCAGGCCTAGGAGGGAAAGGCCCAGAATAAAGCCTCACCCCACCCCCAGGACCCCAGACTGGTTGGGACTGTGGCCCATCCTGTTGACAAAAGCAGACGTGCTCCTGCTAGCCTCCTGGGTGGTGGTGGCCTCCGTCAAGGCTTCTCCAGTCAGGGCCCTTCCCTGGCCATAACCTCTGGGGTGGCTGGGGCCACCTTAGTGGTAATTCAGATGACACAGAAGCTGAAGTCTTTAGCTGCGTGAACCTTGTGGGACACTCCAGTGGAATTTACTTTGAAAAATTATCCCAAGAGAGAATGTGGACCCTCCTCTCATTTACTGGATGGAGAAACTGAGGCACTACGGAACGACTTACATGTGCCACACTAACTAGCAGAGCCAGGACCTAAATCAGATGTCCTGCATAGCCGTTCCTCCTGGGCTCCTGTCAGTGATAATGAGTTGGCATCTCACGTCTTATAATCAGGTCGTGTCAGGGCACTTGGCCTTTGGATAGAGGAGACCTAGTAGGTCTTGAATAGGAGCCGTGAGCCAGGCCCTGTGCTAGAGAGACGTAGAGACTCAGCAAGAGATGGCAGCACTCTGTAGAACACTGGGAGACCATGACGGTACGACGTGACAGGTGGCACTACAGCTCTGTGAACCGAGTAGGTACGGCGGGAGCAATTGTTGAGAAAGGGCCTATGGGAAGAGGCATCTCGGCCCACCATGAGTGAGCAGAAGTGGGCAGGATCTGTGGTGCTGCCTGTTGAATGGTGTCCGGTTGATTTTCTCAGGGAGCCTTCCTGGAGAGGCTCTCGTCACCCAGTGTCCCCACAGACAGATCCATTGTTTGTTTCTGCTTCCCCTCTGGCCTCCTGGCGCGGTTCTGTTTTATGACTTCATAGCAGCAGCAGGAGCTGACAGCAGCCCTTCTGAGGGCCAGAGGGGTGGGTTTTTGCGTCAGTGGCTTGGGCGCCGAGGGAGTAAGAAGTAAGGGTGAGGCCCGTGTCATAGGCAGATGTGGTCTCCCCTCCGTCTTTCAGGAAGTCTCCCACTTGATCCCAAGTCAGGATGCCCTGACGTGCCTGGGGCGGTTCTGAGCACCTCTGTTTTGCGTCTCCTGACTCCGCTGGGCGGGAGGAAGCTCGGGGTGGTTACGATCCCAAGCAGAAGGACATAAACGGGCTCTCAGATTCCCACTCTGCCTTTGACACAGCCATGCGGATATCCCAAGTCCCGGCAAGGGGCTCTGTTTGTGGATTTGTGACTTCGACCTCCCATGTTGACGGCAGACACTTTTACTTTCCGTTTTGCTCGGTAAGCGCTCAGCTTCCTGCCTGAGAGGCTCCAGACTTCTCGTTTCAGTGACTCAGAAATCACATCTGCTCTCATCTCTCCTCCTCCCCATGACGTCACGCGCCTGCTTTCTGGCAGGGACCACAGTCTGTAATCCCAGTTAGAGCCGCCTTCTGACCTGCAAGTGACTTTCCTCGGGAATCCACGGGCGGCTGTGGCCGCGGGGAGGCAGAGTCCCAGATCTCTCAACCTGGTCGAAGTCACCTTGGGCTTTGCTTGCTTTCCAGGTTGCGGTGCGTTTGTCCACAAAGGCTGCAGAGAAAGTCTGGCCTCCTGCGCAAAGGTCAAAATGAAGGTAAGACATTCCTTGGGGTGGGGAGAGGCCTGCTTGGGGTTTTTGTTTGTTGTGATCATTTGGTCCCAACCCTGAGACCAAAACAACCAAACAGTCATTCTTCTCAGAAGCGACCGAGTCTCTTCTTCACTGACACACTTGGGAATCTGTGGCGCTTGGAAAACAAAATGCTTTCAGAAGTCTCGTGTTAAATGCACATTTCTCTGCATTTCGAGCGTCTCTGTGTTGCTGTCAAAGTGGTTTTGCTCCGAAGGACGCCTGCGGGCCCACCCTGCTGCTCACACACCCGCTTCCTCATGGCCACCCTGAGGGCAGCAGGTGGCACTCGGGCTTTGAGCTGCTAGGGAGCTCGGTGGGGGAGGGTTGGACATGACCTGCCCGTGGCACCGGTGTCCACAGGGCACAGAGCAGTTGGCTCTGGTCACTTGATGCAGGAAGAGGCAGCGCCCGGCGTGGGGAGGGATTGCACGCGCTGTGTGGTAATGGGCACCACTTATCGGATGGCCCTTCGAGAGAGTGGGTTTGGGGGCCCACCTTCGAGGTAGCCTCCGTGGTTTTCGGTGTTCTAGTCCCCTGTAAATAAATGTCCTTCTGTCCTTGTCAGAGGAGCACTCTCCAGCTGCATCTACACGATGCGCAGCCTGCCGTGGGCTTCGTCAGAGAGCAGACGTCTGTCTTGCGCAGCGGCCTCACACTAGACTGAGTGTGCGTTAGAGTCCCCTCGGGGACCTGCCGAAAGACCATTCCCTGCTCCCCTCTCCCCTGCACACTCCGGGGTGGGGCCCAGGAATTTGCATTTCTAAGTTCCCAGATGATACAGGGGCCGAGAGTCTGAACCGGTGTAAAAATGACACACTTCTGTGCCCCAGATCTTACCAGCCCATCGACACCAGTTATGGTTGGCTTTCGAAGTATTTTTGTTGATGATGCAGTTTGTTTGTTTTTTAATCCCATTTCGTGTCTAATTTCTCCTTTAAAAGTTGGAAGATCTCACAACCCTGGTTATTTCCTCGTAGCCAGCGTTCCCGATTTTCAGCTGGCTCTTTTTCCTATTCTCTGTAGTACTTCTCACCCTCTCAGAGTTTCTGCGTAACAGCCTGTATTTACTTCCACATGTATTTTGCGTGGTCTGCACCTTCCTCCCACTAGCGTGTAAGACCGAACTTGCCAAGCAGTCTGAAGTCGGGAATGTTTGACCTGTTGATAGATCCTAAGCATCCAGCATGGAATCTGGCAGTCTGGGTCCCTAAATGTTGGGGAACAAGAATGAGAAGTGTAATCCCGGGGGGCTGAGTGGCTGCCGCGTCCTGGCAGGGATGTGCGGGTTTCCTCCCCACCCCGCCCCCATGCCCCGCCTCCTATTGCCCGCCTAAGCCCACAGGCACTGAGTTTGTGATCTGACGGGACTTAGTGCTATTGGGAATGTGCTAGGCTCTGTAGAAGGCTGACGGTAGAGGTAGCGTCTCCCCTATAAGAGAACACAGCCTAAAAGGGAGAGTTCCATTTTTAAATTGGAAGTAACCTGTGTCCACTAATAGTTTATCTCAGAGTAAATTGGTTCACTCTGTAATTGCTCACAAACAGTGTTTCTGTCCCATGCCCCAACAAAAATCTCAACTGAAATTCGTATCGTACCTTAGGACTGTTTAGTGCCTTGTTGATGCTGGTCACTGGAGAAACAGATGAAAAAGGCACAGATGCCGCTCTTCAGGGGAAGACGGCAGGCCGACAGTGACCGTAAATGAGGGCAGCTAGGTGGAGATCTGTGCCTCATCCTCAGGGCGTGCCAGGCACTGCCTTGGGTGAGGAAAAGAAAGGAGGTGATGGGTGGCTTTACCCAGGAGGCGGTTCTCCCGTGGTCTTGAAATCAAGGGAGACCCTGGGGCGAAGGGGCACAGGGCATTCCTGGCAGGAGAAGCAGCCTTTGCGGGGTCCTGGCGCTTGGCAGGTTCCGCGTGAAGAGCCCGTGGGGGTGGCGGGTGGGATGCCGAGCACCGTTGGCCGCGAGCCAAGCTGGAGCTCTCTCCCTTCTCTGGGCTCCTTGAGACCTGACCCAAGAGAAGTTGTGGGTGCGGTCCTCATGTGTTTGTTTATTTCCTTTTTCCTTCAGCAGCCCAGAGGGAGCCTTCAGGCACAGGACACGTCTTCCCTGCCCACAGTCATCATGAGAAGCAAGCGTAAGTCACTCTGTCCTCTTGTCCTCCAGCCCTTCTTGACTCTCTGGTTCAGGACTTAAACACACTTTTGTAATATTCATCTGTTATTCTTAATCAAGATTTGAGCATTTATTTTGTGGTAAGTTAGGGCTGCAGGTGATTGACCAAAAGCCTGGTATTCCCCCATCAAACTCCCTTGGAAGTCTTCTAGACTAATATGTGTATTGGCTTGAAAGGCAGCCTGTGTCTGTGTGTTTAAGCAGGTGATCCCACGCATCTCGAAATTCCTCTTCCATGAGTTGACAGTTACACTCATTTTTGGCGCCTCAGGGTTGCGCAAAGAAAGTGAGATCTTACTGATTAAGCTTCTTAGTTTAGGGGCACCTGGGTGGCTCAGTCAGTTGAGCATCTGCCATTGGCTCAGGTCATGATCTCGGGGTCCTGGGATCGAGCCCCGTGTCAGACTCTCTGCTCAGCAGGGAGCCTGCTTCTCCCTCTGGTCCTCCCCACTGTGTGTTCTCGCTCTCTCTCTCTCTCATATTCTCAAATGAATAAATGAATAAATAAAATCTTTTTTTAAAAAAAATTTTTTTAGGGGCGCCTGGGTGGCTCAGAGGGTTAAAGCCTCTGCCTTCGGCTCAGGTCATGATCCCAGGGTCCTGGGATCGAGCCCCACATCAGGCTCTCTGCTTAGCAGGGAGTCTGCTTCCCTTCCTCTCTGCCTGCCTCTCTGCCTACTCATGATCTCTGTCAAATAAATAAACAAAATCTTTTTAAAAATTTTTTTTATAATTTAGTTTATAAACTGTTTATAATTTAGTTTATAAACTGTGAAGTAAATAGTTCTTTCTCCCCAAGGACTTCAAGTGGTACACAGAATTCAGTCATTCACGTAGTACTGTCTTTAGCCAGCGTGTGCAAGGCTCCACTTTGGTTTTACTTAATGTTCTCCCTTTCTCATTCCCCATCCCCAACCTCCTTCCTTCCCCTCCGTAGTGCCCATATAGTTATTTAACATATAGCCTTGTGATCTGCTCTATCTTTGCTCAGATGTTTGTGTCTGAAAATATCTTAACTGTTTTGTGTGTTGCATTTATATTAGGTAAGACTTAGACTTCTTCGTTCTTTCTTCTCAATCTGTCATTTTAAGATCTGTGCATGTTCTTACATATGAGCTGTTGTTTTAGACGGCTGCATGGCATTCTTCCATAAACCTGTTCCATAATTTAATTATCAGTTCCCCTGAAGATGGATATCTAAGTCATTTCCAGCTGCCACCACAAATAATGCGGTACTGGGTATCATCTTAATTTGCTCTCCGGGAACCCATGTGGGATTCCCCCTAAGTCAGTGTTTCTCAAAGTGTAGTTTCTGGATCGTTAAGACGTGCACATTCTTGGGCCCTATTGACACCTACTAAGTCAGAAGTCCCAGAGGTGGAGCCTAGTGATCTGTGCTCAAACGGATCGTCTGGGCGAGTGTGATGCACACTCAAGCTTGAGGACCACCGCTCCACACGGACTTGCTCTGAGTTCTTCCAGAAGCGTGCGAATTCCCTCTAGGTGGGTTAAGTCTGCTGATGCTCACTCTTTGCTCGTAGATTACTATTAGAGAGGTTTTGCCAGACCGACACCCACTGTAAGCAGGGATCCAACCCATTCCACTACCTTCTACCAGTCTACTCTTCCGTAAACATTTTTTCTTGGACATTATCCCTTGCTTCAGAACTAGCATCTTTCTTTTTTGTTTTAAATACCTATTGTATGTTAGGTTACGTATGCTACCTCTGACCCCCACAAGTATCTCACTCCTGTTTCACACCCCCTGACGCAGTATGGTGATGAATAGTACAGATTGTGGATTCAAGTCGTGTGGGTTTGAGTCCCAGCCCTGCCAGTCAGTAGCCGTGTGACCTTGGGCATTTACTACATCCCTCCTCTGAACAGATGAAAACAGTTTCAGTGGGTGATTGTCAGGTTTAAATGAGATCACACCGGTCAAGAACCTAATAGTAGGCCTCCTAGTAGGCCTCCAGAGGGTTAGCTTTGGCTACTACCATCATCCCCACACAGGGAAACTGAGGCTCGGAAATATTACGTCTCTTCCCTGACTGGAGTAGGGATTGGCTTCAAACAAGCGAAAGCTGTTATTTTCACCCCGTTATTCTGTCCTTTAAAAATAAAGTTTTTGGGACAGCTGGCTGGCTGAGTCCGTGCGACTCCTGATCTCAGGATTGTGAGTTCAAGCCCCACACTGGGTGTGGAGGTTACTTAAAAAAATTTTTTTTTTAATTAAAAAAAAAAAAAGTTCTTTATCACTTTTAGGGTTCTGCATGGCATGACTTCATTCTGATTCTCCAGCCTTTTCTACGGATTCTTTATACGCATCCTCTTTCCTTTTTTCCCTTTGTTCTCTTCTACTTGTGCTGTAATACACGGTTATCTCCGCCTTTGTTCATACAGTTCTCATCACAATGTCCTGTTTTCCTTCCGACCTACCCACATCCACACCATTCTCCGAGAGCCAGCATCTCCTCCTCCGTCAGACTGTATTTGCTCTCTGACCGCCCCCTCCTGAAACACCGAGGACGGGCCCCAGGCCCTTGGACACTACAGCACATTTCCTTCTCTGCCGTTGCACTCACTCCCTGTTGGAGCAAACCCACATCTCATGCTTCTCGTGTGCTTCCTGCCAAAGGGGTCTGGTCATACGGTCACGTAGCGTGTTTCCGATGTTTCATCGTCTCACCTTCCTCTAAGTCGAATTTGAATTGGAAATTAATGGTTTTGTTAATTTTTTATTAAGTCAGAAACCTCCCGCAAGACCGTGAATGTCACAGCAGCCGTCCCAGTCTTATTTGTTGCAGCTCCTGACACTCGCGGGGATAGAAATATCATGCAGCTCGAGTCTGGGGCACGAGCTCAGTTACCAAGGAAAAGTAATTTGTTAGCCAAATGCCAGGGTGACCACTCGAGCGTAACATGAGAGCTTCGGCTTCCTTTCTGGGCATGTTCAGGAGACCTGCACGGTATGAGAACAAAACGGTGACACTAGCGTTTTGCATTTTCCTCAGCTGTAAATTAAAGTAATTGGTCAGAGTCTGCGTTCTCAAACAATGTGCAGAAGGATCACTTGGGGAGCTCCTAAAACGTGTGGACTCCTGGGTCCCACCCACAAGGGATGAGAAGGGCTGGGGTCTGCGAATCTCACAAGCACCTCCCACGTGGCTGGATAGGCGCTCGCGCAGAATGCTGGGCTCTCTCAACTCTGGTTTCTTCTATCCAGAAAACTTTCCCAATTTTATTTTATTTTACCTTGAGTTACTTTTTGTGTTTAAATATACTATTACCCGGGGCGCCTGCGTGGCTCAGCAGGTTAAAGCTTTTGCCTTCGGCTCAGGTCATGATCCCAGGGTCCTGGGATTGAGCCCCGAGTCGGGCTCTCTGCTCAGCAGGGGGCTTGCTTCCTCCTCTCTCTCTCTCTCTCTCTCTCTCTCTGCCTGCCTATCCGCCTACTTGTGATCTCTATCTGTCAAATAAATAAAATCTTTTCAAAAAACAAATAAATAAATATACTATTACCCATGATTCTTTATCTACATTGCCTGATCTCCGTGCCACCCCACAGCTAACCACTCTTCTTAGTTTTATATGTATCTTCAAGTTTCTTTATGAAAGTAAAGCAGATACAAATTTGGCTTATTTTTCTTTTTTTAAAACATGAGAGTCTCTTGTGCAACTTTGTTCCGGGCCTTGATTCTCCACCCTCCCCCCCCCTACAGTATTCTCTTGGAGATCCTGTGTCAGTTCATGGAGAGTGTACTCATTTGTTTTAAAGCTACATAGTATGTCAGTGTATGATGTACCGTAATTTGTTAATTCATCTCCTTTTGCTACTTATATTTTGCTTTAAGCAACAGCATTGCATTGAATGACTTTGGACATGTGTCCTTTTAAGCATTACGAGTATGTCTTACGAAATGAACATATCCAGGGCGCCTGACTAGCTCAGTCGGTGGAGCATGGGACTCTTGATCTCGGGGTTATGAGTTCAAGCCCCATGTTGGGAGCAGAGATTACACTGAAAAAAAAAGAAAGGTAGAATAAACCTATCCTAAAGAGGAATTACTGGATCAAAGGATATGTAGGCATTTGTAGTTTCAACAGACACTGCCAAATGGTCTTCTGTAGAGTTTTTGTACCCACTTAGACTCCCAGGACAAAGCTGTTCTAAAGAAATTTGTTCTCTTGGCATTTGTTAGATGAGTCACTACTCATGAGCTGGGATACGTGGTTCAGGCGGTGTCCTCTCTTATCTTTACAGCCTCACAGCCCAAGGAGCGGCCTCGATCTGCAGTTCTCCTGGCGGATGAAGCCACTGCCATTCCCATGTTTGCCAACAGACGGTCCCAGCAGAGTGTCTCACTCTCCAAAAGTGTCTCCATACAGAACATTGCTGGGTAAGTGGGGATTTTAAGATCTCACAGTTGACATCTAGGTGACAAGAGCTTAATAACCGTATCATTTGACAGATTCTTCTAGGGAAAAAATATGTAACATAATGACGTGCACAGCCCCGTGTTACAGACATGGAGAATGGGGAATGCGTTTTGATGCACTGTCATGCCCACCATTTTGTAGCAGGGACCCCTTTAAACACGCTGTCAGCCACGTTGTCCTGTGCTTTGTGCCCGGTCAGCTTCGCTTTTAAAGAACCTGAGTTGTAAGGAGGTGGTTTTTAGATCAAACTAAGAGGTGAAAATGGGGCGGGTAGAATGACTTATTTCTGATTTTTGTTTGTAACCGGTTGCATTTTCAGATATTACACTTCTCTTTTGGTCAGATGAACCTAGTATTTCTTCTGCTCTTTATAAATCTCTTTCCTGGGCTTGCATCTTGATCCTTGAGTCGGTTCCACAGCAGTGAAGGATGGGGCCAGTTATGACTCTTAGGTCCCCACTCACTCATTTGCACTAAGGTCCTTTTGTGGTCCCTGCAAAAGTTGCTCTGGCCCCTGACTGTCCGGGCCTCAGCCGTCACATGGCTAGCACAGGGCTGATTATGATGTTGCTGGCTGTTTGGGGTAATAAGACTCCTGCTTTCCCATCAAGCACAGAAGTCATCGCCAATGTAGGACTCAAAACATCTCTTCTATCTGTCGTAACCTAGGCTGGAGCAAAATTCTTAACTGAAGGATGCAAATCTTCTTTTGTCTCTACATCCTAACCTCTGTGCTGGCTAGTGTTTTCTTGTTAAAAAAAAAATGTTTCAGGTATTTTATTTTGTCTTTGTATTGTCATTATTCAAAAACCTTCCTTTAGGGGTGCCTGGGTGGCTCAGTGCGTTAAAGCCTCTGCATTTGGCTCAGGTCATGATCCCAGGATCCTAGGATCGAATCCCGCATCGGGCTCTCTGCTCAGCAGGGAGCCTGCTTCCCTCCCCTCTCTCTGCCTGTCTGTAATCTCTGTCTGTCAAATAAATAAAATCTTTATTTAAAAAAAGCCCTCCTTTCAGAGTTGTTACGGTCTCAAAATGTGTTTGCATTATGACTTTAAAAATAGTCTTTGGGGGTGCTTAGGTGGCTCAGTGGATCAAAGCCTCTGCCTTCGGCTCAGGTCATGATCTCAGGGTCCTGGGATCGAGCCCCGCATCAGGCTCTCTGCTCAGCAGGGAGCCTGTCTCCTCCTCTCTCTCTGCCTGCCTCTCTGCCTACTTGTGATCTCTGTCTGTCAAATAAATAAATAAAATCTTTTGAATAAATAAATAAATAAATAAATAAGTAATAAAAATAGTCTTTTGGGGCACCTGGGTAGCCCAGTGAGTTAAGCCTTTGCCTTCGGCTCAGGTCATGACCTCAGGGTCCTGGGATCGAGCCCCACATTGGATTCTCTGCTCAGCAGGGAACCTGCTTCTCCCTCTCTCTCTCTGCCTGCTTCTCTGCCTACTTGTGATCTCTCTCTCTCTAATAAATAAATAAAATCTTTAAAAAAAAAAAAGCTAGTCTTTAAGTAAAATAATAAAGTGTTAAAAGACTCTGGCTTGCTTTTGTGTCCTACCAGAAACGTTCCCTGGGGGCCTCCTGTGCTAGCGGGTGGGTTGGGGTTTGAGAAAGTCCAAGGGAGTACAGTTTATTAGAAAGTGCTTGGTCTACAATTATTTAGAGAATAAGAAGTTAAAGTTAGTGGTCACGCGGTGAGTTTCAAATGGAGAATTTTCTTGTATACTGTGTGTAGAGTTTAAAGGAATAAGATTCTCTTATTACCTATCATTAAAAAAAAAATTGAAGGCTCAAGAAGTTCAAGTTTGCAGTGATGTTAGAGGTCTCTGGCCTTCATTAATAGTTTATGTTGCATGTTGCTGAGTAGCTGACTTAAGTAATTTGTCTTCCATCACTTGGTACTTACAGACAGCTGTCATTTTAGAGTTTTTCAGGTACTCATTTGAGAAAGCAGACCATGGTTTATCAATGTGTCTTTGACAGTAGGTGCTTCTTTTTGTTTCCAGAGTTGGCAATGACGAGAACATATCAAACACCTGGAAATTCCTGTCTCATTCAACAGACTCACTCAATAAAATCAGCAAGGTCAATGAGTCAACAGAGTCGCTAACTGATGAGGGTAAGAGGAAATTATGGCGTGTGTCTTATCCCTGAATGTAAGTGTTAATGGAGTAACAGTACCTGCCTTTTGCTTACTCCTGTGAAGGTTCTTTAATCTATGAGTCACCAAACGCTTTGTAATGAATGGTATCAGATGTACCCAGTTGTTAGATAGTTGTCCGTTAAGGGATGTCATGGAGTTTCCTGTGGTCGCTCTCTAGTACACACACAGTTTCTGGCCCTAGACTTTTGGCACACGGTCAGCCGTAGCTCTCTGGGCAGGTCGTAACCCTACTCTCTTCAACTAGTAAAGTTACCAGGTCCTTTTCAATTCCTTATTCACATGGGAATCCCGAATCTCAGTCACATTTGACTTATGTGATCTCTTACCCAGAGCCATGAATGTGGAGTGTGTCACTCCCAAACAGGAAATGATTCTTTCTGGTACTAGACTGCGTTCTGTGAACGTTCCATGTTAATGCTCTGTGTGTGTGTCTTACGACATTATCACCCAAGGAGAGCCTGGGGTAGGCTTTCGAGAGCTCACAGACCCCAGATTTTGATCCTAATCTTCTGGTATTTTGAGGAGTAGGTACAGACATGAATGAAGGACAGCTAATGGGGGACTTTGAGATGGAATCCAAGCAACTAGAAGCCGAGTCCTGGAGTCGCATCGTGGACAGCAAGTTTCTGAAACAGCAAAAGAAAGATGTGGTCAAACGGCAAGAAGTGATTTATGGTGAGACTCTCCATTTGCCCTGCTAATACTGGGTTTGCATCGTGCAGCAGTTTTTATCAGGGGAGTTGCTAGACCGTGGAAAGCCAATTTTCAAGTATGTAGCATGTCAGAGATTTTCCTTAAAAACTTTGAGGTCTAGGGACACGATCTTATTTCTGTCCTTTCCTCTTTAAAATTGTTTACTTCAATTTCGTTGAACATTTTATTGACTGTGAGTGCTTACTTACAAGGTCACCCTGGAAAGAGATCTCTTGGGGCTGTTCACTTTGCTTCCTCAGCTGCACGGAAAGCCAAGCACGAGTCATTTCTAGGAAACGGGACACAGTAAATTACGAAAGGCTCCGAATCCAATGAAGACCACTTGGGAAACCACCATTTAAGAGGATGGAGTCCAGTACATTGTCAGGAAACACTGTCAGGTCACACGAAGTAGAGGAATAAGATGAGAACACTTGAGGGGAGAGACAGCTTTTGACCCGGTTTTTAAGTCTAAATTGTGCTCTAAACACACAAAGTGGGTGTTTAAACCAAAGTGGGCTCTCAGTGGCCACGGATGACCTTTGAAGGAGAATCCTTTAAAGGAACATTGCTGACCTTTGAGCTCTGTCATCCTTCAGAGCTGATGCAGACCGAGTTGCACCACATCCGGACGCTGAAGATCATGAGCGATGTGTACAGCCGCGGGATGATGACAGAGCTGCTCTTCGAGCAGCAGACGGTGGAGAAGCTGTTCCCCTGCTTGGACGAGCTGATCAGTATCCATAGCCAGTTCTTCCAGAGGATCCTGGAGCGGAAGAAGGAGTCTCTGGTGGATAAAAGCGAGAAGAACTTTCTCATCAAGAGGATGGGAGATGTGCTGGTGAACCAGGTGAGAAGCGGAAAGGCTCTTTCCCACAAAATGGGGTAAAAAGTGAAGCTTTGCGGTTCTGCAGCCACTCATTGATGTCCTGGCTCTACTGTTCGTTATCTGTGTAAGCTTAGGTTGCTGAATCTCTCTGAGCATCAGGTGTCTTTTTCTGTAAGTGAGGACAGATTTTCTCTCCTAACACTATTTTTTTTTTAATTAAAAGGAGTATGTACACAAAATATCTAGCATATGGGGGAGACACTCAGTAAAAGTCCATTTTCCTTTCTCAGCATCCAGACCGTCACTCGAGACAGGGTAGTTTAAGAAATCAAAAGCTCTCTGTTGGAACCTCGGTGTCCCCTGTGCCTCAAATCAAAAGGAACTCATTTATCTCAAAACCAGCTGAGCATAGAAGATTGAATAAGAAAGTATCTGTAAAATAATTCATAAAGTAGATCTTGCTGATATTTTCATCAGGGTTTCAACCCTACTCGGAAAGAGCTGGGCCAGAAGTTATTTTGCAAAAAGTGTTGCTGGTTTAACCTTCACAGACAAAGCGGCCCAGCACACCGGCCACCAGCTCTCCCTCCCCAGCAGGTCTGGGCTGGAGAAGCGGAGGCTTCATTGCTGGAACATTTGCCCGAGAACTGGAAGGGTTGTCCTTCCCTTATGTTCTTCTGCCCATGCCCCGCACCTCATTAATTCACTAGTGCATTCATTCATCCCTTTCCCATATATTCACTAGGCGTCTCTACCACAAAGGCAGACACAGCATCGACCTGTGCCTCAGGGTCCCTGTGCTCCCAAGGGAACAAAGGCATGGCAGGAGACAAAGGCATGGCAGGAGGTAAACGCACACACAGTGCAGCCCACGCCGGAAGGCAGCTGTCTGCCACAAATGGGGCCTCAAAGTAGGAGCCGTCAGCTCTGCAAGTGAGGCCCTTTCCTCCCCAAACATCCCCTCCCAGCATTTTCCATGTCCCTCTCTCTGCCTTCAGACCTGCACAGGTGCCTCATCTAACCTTAACTGGTGCTGTCCATGGCTCTCTGTACTGGTGCCCGTCCTCTAGTAAGATCTCTGATGGTAGGATTCCTGTCTTAGCCCGCATGGCATCCATTTGTTGGTTCTCTGTGGGAGTTCCAGAATCACCCCATTAGAGCACTTGCTTCGTGAAGGGAGCAGAACACCTGAAATCTCTGCCTCAGCCTCCCCGTGGTGAGGGGGAGAGAGAGAAGCTGCCACCCTGAACCTTTCCTCGAGTTCTTCTGGTAAGGATCAGTTTGCGTGGCCTTCAGAGGTTTTCAGTACAGGGGAAGTCGATGCGCTTAGCGTGCGTCACACAGACCCCCTGCAGAAACTCACTGGTTTGCCCCAAAGTGAGCGTTTCTTCAGGCGAGCCATTGAGATCGCACATGTTTTAGGAATGATGAAAGGCCACGCAGAATTGTTAGCGCTGCTGGCCTGAGGTAGATGAGGTGAGCAGATCCCTCGGTAATAGCCGTTTCTGATACCTTCCTAACTTATCCAGGTGAAGTCTGTAAGTCTGTCTCACAGGAAAACTTCTAGTGACCCTCCCTGTCTTACCACCCTGTTTACGACAAATGGAAATTAGAACACATTTTGCATGACTTAAGTGCACAGTACGTAGGTATTTCTGGGTGGTTGTTTTTTAAAATATATATAACATGTTTAATGAAGTAAATTCATATGCCATATAATGCCCCGTTGAAAGTCTACAGCTCAGAAAAGAACATCCTGCTCCGTGGTTTCCACTGTGTCCGCGGAGTTAGGCGGCCGTCATCACACTTAGTTCAGAGTATCTTCATCACCCGACCCCTGTCTGCCTCCGCCGAGGCGTCTGCTGATCTACTCACTGTCCCTGTGGGCTCGTCTAGTCTGGACTTACTGTGTAAATGGGGTAAAACAACATATGGACATGGCAGTTGGCTTGTTTCATGTAGGATAATGCTTTCAAGGTTCATCAGTACTGTGACATGTATCCGTCTTCCACTCCTTCTCGCGGCTGAATAATGGTCCATCCTGTGTGTCTGCCACATCCTGTTTATCCTTGGAGGGACATTTGGTTTCTTTCCACTTGGGGGCACTTGGGAATATGGCAGCCATGAACTCTCATATCCAGGTGTTTGTGTGCAATAAGTTCTGTGCCTTGGAGCGGAACTGCCGGTCACACAGTGACTGCGTAGCTTTCTGGGGAACTTCCAGACTGTTTCCCAAAGTTGCTGCGCCATTTTAATCTTTGGGGGGAATTCTTGGGGAAGCATGCTTGGGTTTTACAAATAGACTGGACACCGCATACAAAATGTTGGTAAAAGTTCAGCCCCCTGAGCTCCGACTTAACTTCTGTTCTCTTTCCTCCACAGTTTTCAGGGGAGAACGCAGAGCGCTTAAAGAAGACGTACGGCAAGTTCTGTGGGCAGCACAACCAGTCTGTGAACTACTTTAAAGACATTTATACCAAGGATAAGCGGTTCCAGGCGTTCGTGAAGGTACGGTTGGGAACCCTGGAACTCCGCACCGCGGTCCGGGGCACTGGCGCGGTCAGGGACAGGGACGGAGCGTCCGTCTTGTAGCTCCTGATGATTCGTTCTGTCCTTTGCAGAAGAAGATGAGCAGCGCCGTGGTGAGGAGGCTGGGCATCCCAGAGTGCATATTGCTGGTGACCCAGCGGATCACCAAATACCCAGTTTTATTCCAAAGAATACTGCAGTGTACCAAAGGTGAGCCTCCCTCCTCACCCAGTCGTGTCCATCTGCAGGCTGGTTCCCGTCTATCCGGCAGCGCAAGAGGCCCCAAGGAAGAGCTCCCTCAGGCTCTCGCAGGTCTATGAGAGAGCCTGTGTTTTGCCTTAAAAACCGTTTTCTTAAGTGAAAATTTGAAATGCTTTGTCGCCAGATGAAAGGTTTCTCTCTCCCAGCAAACCCTGCTCCTAGGCAGTTCCGTTGAAAGTGAAGTAAAACAAAGAAGTTAAAAAATTGTTGCTCCTCTCCCTCCCTGAAGTTGTCGGGTCCTCCTGCTTCAGGATGTGGCGTGGAATGGCGTGTTGTGTCTGTCAGTGAAAACATCTCTCTTTATTTAGAATTAACTTTATGACGGGGATTGGCACGTGACCTTTGCTTTGCTGGTCCCACTCTATCCGACACGCTACCAGCCTGTCCCCAGAGGGAAAATGGTGGTGTGGAGTGAAGAAGTAGGATTCCCCCTCCTTGTCGGAGAGGTTCGATTAAAATGGGACTGTTCCTTCCTTCCAAGACAATGACGTGGAGCAGGAGGATTTGGCTCAGTCCCTGAGCCTGGTGAAGGACGTGATCGGAGCCGTGGACAGCAAAGTGGCAAGTTACGAAAAGAAAGTGCGTCTCAATGAGATTTATACGAAGACAGACAGCAAGTCGATCATGCGGATGAAGAGCGGCCAGATGTTTGCCAAGGAGGATCTGAAGCGGAAGAAGCTTGTGCGGGACGGGGGTGTGTTTCTGAAGAACGCGGCCGGAAGGTTGAAAGGTAAGGCTCGCTCTTTGAGTCTACGCGCATACCGGAGAGCAGGCAAAGTTCAGAGGTTTTTGTTAGAAATCCACCGCCAGGGGGCGCCTGGGTGGCTCAGTGGGTTAAGCCTCTGCCTTGGGCTCAGGTCATGATCCCAGAGTCCTGGGATCGAGTCCCACATTGGGCTCTCTGCTCAGCAGAGAGCCTGCTTCTTTCTCTCTCTCTGTCTGCCTCTCTGCCTACTTGTGATCTCTCTCTGTCAAACAAATAAATAAAGTCTTAAAAAAAAAAAATAGAAATCCACCGCCAGGTTTTTCCTAGGGAGCCCACATCCACACGTCACACTGGAACAGCGGACCTTTAATTGTTCTTAATTTTGTATCAGAAAGGATGAGGTTGAGATAAATTAGGAGATGATAAACTCCTCCAATAAGATAACAAGAGAATAGTGCAGTTAGGGAAAATAGAAAAAAAAATTTTTTTTAAAGCAAAGAAGGTGGCCCCGAGGGCGTGCAGGTGGGGGGCAGCCCCCGAGAGTAGAGGGCAGAGGGGGAGCTGGTGTGTGGGTCTGCATGTTGCAGTGTGGCCCTCCTGTTGAGAATCAGGAGTGGGAGACCATAAGGACAGGCCCAGGAGCAGTGGCATCCAAAGAGGAACAAGAAAAAAAAACTCATGCCAGCCTGGAAAATGAAAGAACGGTTGCAAAGGAGCACGTTGCTACTAGCGGAGAGCTGGTGGCCCTGCCCTGGAAGCCAGTGACTGTCTCATGTGCCTCGAGTCAGTCGGTGGTGGTCGTGTCCTGCAGCACAGGTCAGCGGCTCAGAGAGCCCCAGGAAGAGGGGAGAGGGCTCAGGAGGAGGTGAGATGGCAGAGGGAAAAGCAGGTCAGTTGTCGTCTGCAGCCACTTAGCACTGACCCCCGCCCCCTTACCATGGCCATCGTGAGGAGTGTGGCCTAGGCCTCGAATGCTCATGTTTTCCCTCAAGCTCATAGGAAGACATACCTGCCTCCCGAACTTAATGTTCTCTGTGCACCGTTGTTGTAAACCTTCTGGTGTTATGTCTCTTGCGGTGAGACACTCATTATATATTGAGAAGGTCATAAAGCAGTTTAAAAAGGAAAAAAAAAAAGCCAAGTGTAAAATTACTACAAGAACCCAGGCTATTAAGGAAAGCATGTTTCCCTACAGAAATGGGCAACACTTCTGGGGTTGGGGTCTCTGGGAACAGTTGCAAGAAGGGGAAACCCCATCAGGTAGTGATTCAGAGTCCGAGATTAAAAACACATCACTTGTTCTGAAGAGAGATGGTAGAGGACTTTCTAGCTCCCAAGACGACCTTTCCTAGAGGAAACGTATGCTTCATTCATACCAACGAGATAGATTATTAAACTTGATGATATTCATCTCTTTTATCTCCCTCTAAGCACGAAATCATAAAAGATACTAATTTCCCATTTAGTTTTAATTTTTTCTTTTAAAGGTTGAGCTACTTCAAGTTTAAGGAAGTAACTGTGAGGTGTGTTAATTCATCTCTACATCTGATTTTTTTTTAATAAATCTTTTTTCATTGAACCTGTACTGGCTAGGCCTGTGTGACAGCTCTGATTTCCCCAGCAACCCTGAGCACACCCGTCCCGGCCCCCGTGAGCTGCATGCACGAGGCAGGTCGGCCCCGAGCTGTCAGCCGTGCTGACAGAAGAGCAAGGCTGGGGGTGAAATCTGGGCCTCTCTCTCGGCTCTCGTGGGTCAGAACACTGCAGGCGGCTGCTGTCAGCTACTACCCTGGAGTCTTAACTAGCCTTTCACCATGCTTGGAGCAAACAGTATAGACGTCCCAGGTCTCATAGGCGAATGAAGCTGACCATGCCTAGAAGTCAGGCTCCAAATGAAGAGGCTGGCGAGGAGGTGCTTGTCCCACAGTCTGCGGGTGCTGGAACCAAGGGCCGCACTAAGCACTGGGGGAGGCAGTGGGGACTGGCACTGAGTTAGTCCCGAAGGCTGAAGGGCAGGCGCCCCTGGCTCTCAGGCAGCAGAGACGGTGGCAGGGAGGGCTGGGGCCGTGGGCAAAGAGTGGCTTCGTCAGATGGAGACACGGACAGCCGACACTGCGGCTTGGGGTGGGCAAAGAATGGGTTCCAGACAGAGGGTTTTCAGGGATACATTAGCTTGTTTTCTAGTGGAGGTAGTGAGAGAGCCGCCAGAGTGGGGAGAGGCTGGTGACAAGGACAGGAGCGAGCACACTGGGCCCGGGGTGCCAGAGTGCATGAAAGGAAGGGAAGGAGCCTTTCAGAGAAAAGACTGAGCCCTTCCTGGTTCCAGCAGATGTGGCTCTCTGCTCCACAGTGAACTTGAACTAAGTGATCCCTGAGGCTCCCTCCCTCCTTCCAGCCCCAGTCCTCAGATGCTGGGAGAAGCCCAAATCGGGACTCTTCCCGCACTGCCGCGTTGGGACCGGCCTCGAGGCAGCCGGGCCCTTGGGAAGCGCCTGCCGCCTCTTGCAGGGCCCTGAGTTTCCTGGAGCGGCCGCTGCCTGGAGCCAGCGCTTGGTTCTTTCCTGGGCACATAACGCACTCGTTCCCAGAGTGACAGCGAATGGATTTCAGCTGCGGGCGTGAAGCTGTGGTCAGCCAGTGGCAGCAGAAAGGCTCTCCGGCCTGAAGGCCTCCAGTGCAGCTGGGGTTGGGGGGGAGCCCTTTCCCCTCGGGCGAGCTCATGCCAGGAACAGCCAGGCCTGCGCTGGGCCCCCGCAGAGAGGGACGGGCTTGTTTTTCTCTGATCCACTGACGCTGATCCCAGAAGCCTCAGCATCCAACGAAGTGGAAACTTGCGTTTGGGAACTTCTTTTTTTCTTTTTTGGCAGACACCCAAATTATTTAAAAGTAAACTTTAAGAGACTTGTCAAAACTAATAGCCCACAGAACAGTCGTCGGCAGCCTGGTTGGTCTAGGCTGAAACCATACCACCCAGGAACCTGCTGTCCTTGCTTCTGCTCTCTTCGTAGCCGTGCCGTGAAGTACACAGAGGTGCTTCCCGCTGTGGCAGACGCAGAGAGAAGGCTAGAAGGGGCCTGGCCACCTGGGAGGGGGCTGCATAAGTCAGCTCCGCTCTTTCCCCAAGGACTTGTAGGGGGAAGGTGACACAGAGGGGCCAGCCTCTTAGCTCTCTGGAGATGCCGGACTTTGTCTTTGAGGGCGCACTGGAAAATGCCTCTTCGTGTTCTCTGACAGCGAGAGTTTGTGGCATTTTCTGGATTACTAGATCCAAGTAGAGCTCTCACTTTGGCTTTTGTTTGAGTTGAGAGGAAGAGCAGGCCACGTCTGTGGTAGAGAGCCATTGAGGCTGGCTAGGATCTCTTAGAGCCGGGGGACGAGCCATTGTGTTCCCATGTACCTGTGAAATGAGAGGGCACTGTGGATCCCTGTCCTGCGGGTGTGGGGGAAGTCTGCCTTTCATTAGACTGAGATATTTTTTTAGTTAACATATAATGTTATTTGTTTCAGGGGTACAGGTCTGTGAATCATCATCAGTCTTACACAATTCACAGCACTCGCCATAGCACATACCCCAGTGTCCCTCACCCGTCCCCCTTCCCCTCCAGCAACCTTCTGTTTTTTTCCTGAGATTAAGAGTGTCTTACTCTGCTTTCATCTTGTTTCATTTTTCCCTCTCTTTCCCCTATGATCCTGTCTTGTTTCTAAAATTCCTCCTATCAGAGAGATCATGTGATAATTGTCTCTGATTGACTTCTTTCACTTAGCATAATACCTCTAGTTCCATTCACATCATTGCCCGTGGCAAGATTTCAGGGGGCTTTTGATAGCTGTGTAATACTCCGTTGTGTGTATACACCGTGTCTTCTTTACCCACTTCTCTGAGACTGAGTATTTCTGTACATCACCTACTGGCGGCTCTCCGGTCCGCTCTTCCACGCCTCTCCCAGTCTTAGGATCCGAAGTCGAGGAGTATTGTGACCTGAGTATTTATTTGGTGGAATATGTTGCTATTTACTATTTCTTAAAGTCCTTCCCAGTTTTATTCTTAAAAGTATTTTGTTCTGCAAGTCTCGCCTTATGGGACGTATCTTTCCAGAACAGAGTTCGCAGGCTTTGTCAAGATAAGGCTTTGGCGATAACTACCGTTTAAAAATGCCTCAGAAAATCTAATGACCCGATGTGGCTCGTGCAGCACAGGAAACCCGTCTCCTTGGAAGACTGCAGAGCACTCCCCATCCTGATTTGCTCTGTGGGCTGGATTGCTGAGTTGGCCTCCAACTTGCTTCCCTGTTAAGTAATCCTTGTCCTTTCTCTCCTTCCCCCCCTTGACAGAGGTTCAAGCAGTTCTGCTTACCGACATTTTAGTGTTCCTTCAAGAGAAAGACCAGAAATACGTCTTTGCATCATTGGTAAGCTGAACTGTCAGTCTCTTCCGTTTGGAATGAATAATTGAAACAGCACGAGTGGGGGGGTCCGAACGCCGGATTCCTGCCGTCTCACACTCTCCACGTTGCTTTGCTCAGGACAGATTCCTCTGAGTAATTCCTCAGATACTCTTGCAATTTTCCACCCCACCCCCACCAAAAAAAACACATTTTTCTGTTCTCTCACAGTCCCTTCGAGAACCTTAGACATTTGATCTAAAGAGATCTGTCCCTAGAGTATTTCTTGCACCTTATGCTCCATGAATCATGCTAATTGCTAATGTTGCCAGCCAGAGTCCCAGAGGAGCCTAGAAGGATTCCTCATGTAGAAACCATGTCTGGAAGCTCTGTGGATACAAATTACCATTTGTTTTCTGGAAATCTTTTTCTGCTTGATAAGGTGTAGGTGAGATAACGAGATAAACTACCATAGTTTGTTAAACCACAAGCCTTTTTTCCAGTCTTACTGAGCAATAATTGACCTGTATCACTATCTAAGGTGTACACATTGATGGTTCGATTTACGTATTATTAAATGATCACAGTAAGTTCAGCTCAGAGTCACCAACTGATACAGACACAATATAAGAAAAGAAGGAAGTGAAAATAGTTGTTTTAAGAACCCTGAGAATTTATTTGTTCCCTCAACACCTTTCCTGTGCACCGGACAGCATTTAGCCGTAGTCTGCCTGTTCATGTCACATTCCTAGAGCTGCTTTATTTCAGAGCTTGTGCCCTTTGGCAACCCCCATCTCATTCCCCGTCCCTACACCTCCGCATCCGGTAACCACAAGTCTGGTCTCTTTTTCTGTGAGTTTGGTGTGGGGTTTTCTTTGCTCTCGTTTTTGTATTTCTAGGTGCCACACGTTAAGCGAGATCATACATCTGGTCTTACCTTAGGTCCGAGCTGTTCTTAAGAGTTACAATACCGTGGGCCTTTCTTACCCTGACCCTCCCCTTTCTCCAGGACCAGAAATCCACCGTGATCTCGTTAAAGAAGCTGATTGTCAGGGAAGTGGCCCACGAGGAGAAAGGTTTATTCCTCATCAGCATGGGGATGAAGGACCCCGAGATGGTGGAGGTGCACGCCGGCTCCAAGGACGAGCGGAACAGCTGGATCCACATCATTCAGGACACGATCAACACCCTGTAAGGACACGCCACGGCCCGTCCCAGCCCCTGCGACTTTATCCCAGAGGGGGCGGTGAGCAGAGTCACAGGCCTCGTGGGGGCTGTTGGTTCATTTCCTTTCATTTTGGTGTTAGGAACAGAGACGAAGATGAAGGAATTCCTAGCGAGAACGAGGAAGAGAAGAGGCTGCAGGACACCAAAGCCCGAGAGCTGAAAGGTGAGGCCGTCGGGGCGTCTGGGACCTTGTCTGTGCCGCCCGCGGCCCCACAGCTGTCCCGGCAGGCCCTTCCCAACAGGAGCTGAGCGGCTTTTTTTTTTTTTTTTTTTTTTTTTTTTTTAAGGTTTTTATTTATTTATTTATTTGACAGAGATCGAGAGAGAGAGAGATCACAAGTAGGCAGAGAGGCAGGCAGGGAGAAAGGGGGAAGCAGGCTCCCCGCTGAGCAGAGAGCCCGACGCGGGGCTCGATCCCAGGACCCCGAGATCATGACCTGAGCTGAAGGCAGAGGCTTAACCCGCTGGGCCACCCAGGCGCCCCAGGGCTTTTAACAAAAGAGCAACCCAGGCTGAGCCAACACAGATCCCAGGTCCCATAATACAGCCGTCAGAGGGTGTTGGACCCTGGATCAAGGGGATATTGATTCTGTTTTCTCACTTTCTGTGTTCTTGGACCCTGGTGACATCTTTGTACTTCATCACAGGAGAATTTGCTAAAACTCACGGTCATATTCGAGATTCAGACAGAGAGAAGGGTACTTGAGGAGAAGAATTTTTCGTTTAGTCTGTTTTGATCACTGACCCTGCCGCTGCACTGCGTGTCCGCCATGTGTTGTGAGGTGGTTCTGGGAGACGTGCTCGCTGATGATGCTCGACCTCTGTTTATCGAGTCCCTGCTTTTCCAGATGGTCTCGTCAGGACCGTCTCTGCAAGACACGTGTGCCAGTCCCCGTTGTGCAGACGAGAAAGCTGAGGCCCACAGAGGCCACATGGTCCAGGGTCACATACGTGGAACCGGGCAGAGGACTCTTCTCCCTGCTTGCTAAACAGCAGGGCGAGGGCTCCCCTCTCTTTGCCAGCGCTTATCGAATGTTCCGAAGTAAGGACTGGGCTTCGGGTAGAAATAAGTCCCAGAGTCAAATTAATGGAAGCACCCGAGGAGTGTGGTTAGTCCTTCAAGCTGGACAAAGCAGTGACAGTGTTTGGGAGGTGGGGGGACAGGAGGGAGATTTAGGCTGAAACCAGATTTGCACCTGATTGATTGGCCCGTGATTAGTATGGCAGGGATGGAAACTTCCTTTTCACGGGCATGAAGCCCCCGGCCAGGTATACTGCTAAGTGCTGGGGGCGCAAGAGATTCCTAAAGCAGCGTCCGTGCCGTCGGGGAGTCCCCTTTAGCAAGGGGGACGGACAGAAATGACAGGACGAGACTGCGGGCACGTGTAAAGGACGCGGGACCTAATCCTGCCTGTGGAGCTGACGCACGAGCTGAGCCTGAAGCAGTCCCTTGCACCAGACAAGAGCAGCAGTCAGGTGAAGAGTGAAAGAGGACTTGAGTGTGCGCAGTGTCTAGGGGGGTAGGGGTGGTCAGGGCCAGCAGGTGGAATTTAGCTGCAAAAGCACCAGGGCTTGAAGGGCAACAAGGGAATGATACAGTTTGTGGAGCAAAGCTTCAACTGAAATTGTCTTTGTTGGCACTGAAGCCAGGGGGCAGATTGCTTGAGGGAGTGGGGAAGCCACTGGGAGTGGAAAGCCCAGCTGGGTGGCTCAGGGGAGAGGCATGGATGGCGCAGGACAGAGCAGGGAGACAGACAGAAGCCCTCCCCTGTCCTCAGCTGGCCCGGAGGGAGGCTGAAGGGGGTGTTGGAGGCTGAGGAAGGGATCACACGCTGGAGGAAGGATGGGGACGGCAAGAATGGAGCAAAGGGCTTTCTGACAAGCGGAGGATGAGGCGTCTAAGTAGAGCCAGCCACAGGCCGGCGGGACTCTCGATCTGGCGCTCAGAAAGGCAGGCAGGATGCGGGCTGCTCTGCGTGAGTTCCAGCCCATGGGAAGTCCCCGAAGCCCGGAGAGGGCAAATCCCTGGAAAGACTTCTGTGAGGTGCAGGAGGCCGGCCAGGATGGAGCTGAGAGGAAGCCCAGGTATCGCTCCATCGCAGACGGTGGGAAGAGAACCAGTGATGCCCTCCAGGTGGGGGGCGGGCAGAGGAGGGGCGCCTGGGGGGCTCAGTCCAATAAGCGTCCAATTCTTGATTTCAGCTCAGGTCATGAGATCAAGTCCCGTGTCCGGTGTCATGTTCCGCACACAGATTCTTCCTGTTCCTCTCCCTCTACCCCTCCCCCTGCACACGCACTGTCCAGATAGACAGATAGATAGTTGGATAAAATCTTTAAAAGATGCAGAAAAGAGTGGGTTGAGAAGTAAACAGGAGGTAGGGGAGTGGAAACGGTATGCAGGTTGCTTATGTCAAATTCTGGTTTTGTCTAGAAAGACGCTGGATGGAAGGTGTCATTGCGGTGGAAAGGGGGACTGGGGTGGAGCTGCGTTCTCTGTTGTCCCACCAATGACCACAAGGTGGCACTCGTGTCCCGGTCATCTCTTCCTGAACACTTGCGTCACCAGACCTTTTCTCCATCCTCCCTGCAGAGCAACTCCAGCAGAAGGACCAGCAGATCCTCCTCCTCCTGGAAGAGAAGGAGATGATTTTCCGAGACATGACCGAGTGTAGCACCCCCTTGCCGGAGGATTGCTCCTCAACACACAGCTCTCGGATCCTCTTCCGCTCCAACACAGAAGAAGCTCTCAAAGGAGGACCTTTAATGAAAAGTGCAATAAATGAGGGTAATTGCCCCTCTTAATCTCTTCCCAAAGTGCCTCATGCACTAACATTACCTACCAGATTTTACTTTTCCGTTGTAAAATAAAGTACAGATACAGAAAACAATCCAAGACAGATATTTTGTGTAGTAGATTATCATCAGGGGAACATCCTTGTAACCGCCACCCAGGTCCAGAAATAGAATGTGGCCAGACCCCAAAGCCCTTCCACACGGTCTGTCCCCATCAAAGCTCCCTCCCTGCTTCCGAAAAGGAACAGGTGCTGTGACTTCCACGTTTCCATACCGATCGATGGCTGAAGGCCTGTTTGTAGGCACTATGGTCTTGCTTGTTTTTCATTGACCTTTCAGATTCCTAACTTCCAGGCCTCTCCACCAGCCCTTTCTCTTCCACATAATTTATCTTTGAAGATTTGGAGCTTTTTGACCTAGAGTGTCTCTCAGAGTCCAACTTTTATTCACGCGAGCGTTCTCTTCTTCTGTCCGCGACTTCCTTCAGATCCACAGCCTGATTGAGAGGTTTTATCGCTCAGGCTTGATCCCCGGGGTAAGCTGTGTCCTTGCGGGGCGGGCTCCTTTACCAGAGGCACAAGGTAGCTAGCTAGCTGTCTCCTTTGTGGCATGCAGGAAAAGGAAGATAAAACGATAAACCCTTGATTTTTTTTTCCCCTTTATTTACCAATTATCAGGATAGTGAACTGATCTGGGGTCACCCTCTGAAGGTAACCCGTATGTTTTAGATGTTATTACAGACTCAAGAATTTAAACCTGTTTGATGGTTTTCAAGTCACTACTTGATCCGTACTAAACTCTGGGAATGTTCGCGATTTGCCAACCAGCGCTTCTTCGTTTGGCTTCCAGGTGCTTCTGACAGGACCCCAGGAGTCTCTGAGAGCTTCAGTGCTCTTTGGTATATCAAGATGTTCTAGACTCACCTTGTTTTCTGCCCCAGATCTAGGGTCCTTTCTCTAAGGAACTCTTGTTTTTTAAGACCACAGTCCTGGCAGTAGGCCTGGTCACTGCTGCTGGACTTTTCATTACGCTTGTCATTTTGGGTGTCTGAGGCTCCTCCTTCAGTAGCTGTTCCGGGAAGGGCTCGTGAGAACACCGCGCCCTGGGTCCTTGCACAGGTAGTAATTTGTACCGTGGAGAGCTCGCAAGTCTACTCTGCGGGATCGGAGATGCTCGGTTCACATTTTCTTCCCTCAGGTGTCTTGGTTGCTCTTACATAACGTTCTTGCTTTTTCTCCTGGCGTAAAGCAGCTGTCCGTGTGCGATCGTAATCTCGGTTCTCCCCTTGTAAGTCCCGTGCTTTCTGCCTAGGCGCCCCGAGAGCTACTTTCTCGAATTCAGGTATTTTGACCTTTGACCGGCATACGCCTTCTGTTGGGGCTGTTCTGGGTCAATGTTCTCAGGCTCACGGTTTTGCAATTTCAGCAAAGTATTCTTAAATTACAGCTTTTAGTGTTTTTGCTCTGCCCTTGTTTTGATTCTCTTCTTCAAGAACTCCCGCTATCCACATGCCGGACCCCCTCTGTCCTCCACACGTGTTGCTCTCTTCACACTTTGTATCCCTTCCATCTTTTTCATGCTCAAGTATTCTTCCTTCCACCTTCTGGTAAGTCATTTTCTGTTGGGTTGGTTTTGCTCTTGTGCTCTAGTTTCCCTCTCTCAAATGACCATTTCTCTTTGTTTCCACTTCTGGGTGTCTGTGTTTCCCGATTCTGCCCTGGGTTCCTCCATGGCTGTGTCCGCTCCTTGCAGTAAGTAGCCCGTCCACTTCATGGACACGTGTCCCTGAGATGCTGTTAGCCCACGCGGGGAGTCATGCCCCTTGTTCTTTCCCTCGCTTGCTTTCTCTTTAGCGTTGTGTGGGATTTGACTTGGATGTTTCCCAGTTGCTCGTTTTTGGGTTTTTTTTTTTTAAGATTTTATTTATTTATTTGACAAAGATCACAAGTAGGCAGAGAGGCCAGCAGAGAGGGGTGAAGCAGGCTCCCTGCTGAGCAGAGAGCCCGATGTGGGGCTCAATCTCAGAACCCTGGGATCATGACCAGAGCTGAAGGCAGAGGCTTAACCCATTGAGCCACCCAGGCGCGCCCTACCCCCCCCCCACCCAGTTGCTCATTTTTACGTGAAATAAGCTTCCTAAGTTTTTAGGTATAGATATCTTTTCTCACTTCACAGGACTCTTGATTGTTTCCGTGGAGTGTGGTTTTTTTTTTTTAAATACAGTGGCTTCGTCTACTTGATTCCCTGCCTCTCTTTCCCTCCTTCATTCCATCTGGACCTCCTCTCTGGCTTCTCTCCAGCTTAAGCTTTATTCCACTTTTAGCACTTTTTTCTTTCTGGGGGACCCAGCTCTAGAAAAGAGGCCTCGCTGGTCAGATCTGAGAATTCCGACCCTTGACTTCTCTGGTCCCTTGAACTCATTGTACCAGGGGGAAGAACCCTGCCAGCTTTAGGGCTGCTCTCAGATTGGCCCATCTTACTTACTAGGGAATTCTTTTTGGCCACTTTGGGTATGACTCTAGAAGGCCATGCCCCTTCCAGTAAATTCCTTTGTCTTCCTCGTGCCCTTTCGAATTTCCTAGACCCTGTGTAAATAAGGCCGAAGGCTTCGTCTGTGAATTCCCAGTAGAATCCAGCTACAACACATATCCTGAGCTGAGACCTTTCTCTGAGCAAAGGAAGTCCCTAGTCACTCTGGAATTGTCTGATCGTGCTTCCTATATATCTTGTGTAATACCCTGAGATTTTCTAAGTGGAAGATGAAATGTGACTTGAGCATGTTTCCTTTTTTCCAGTGGAGATCCTTCAAGGTTTGGTGAGTGGAAGCCTGGGAGGCACGCTGGGGCCGGCGGTCAGTAGCCCTGTTGAGCAGGAAGGCATGGTGGGTCCTGTCTCCTTGCCCCGGAGAGCAGAGACCTTTGGAGGATTTGACAGCCATCAGATGAACGCTTCAAAAGGTAAATGATTTACGGGCCCCTGGCTGGCTTCATCCATAGAGCATGTGACTCTTGATCTCAAGGTCGAGAGTTCAAGGCCCACATTGGGCCCTAGGGCTTACTTTAAAAAACAAAAAACAAAAACAGTAAGTGATTTGGAACCCATACTCCTATAGGTGATCCCCGACTATCTCATACAACCAAAAATGAAATCCTGTTCTGGTAGCTGCCTCTCCCCTGTTCCAGTCAGTAGAAGTTTTAGCAAAAGCTCATTGAGTAGCTCACTGCTAAAGCACTCAAGAACCTCTCTCCGTGTCACATTTGTTTTTAGTAAATGAAAAACAATTTCCTGGGACCTCAGCTAAGTTGTGACAAAGGAGTAATGATACTCATTTTCCCCTTTCTGCTTCTGATTCCTCTGTGGCCATAAAATTCTTAATTATCACTTAGCTGCCCCCAGGTGGCTTCCCCCTTTTTGGCATTAATAAGATGCAGGAGTACCATATCCCTAAGCTGCAGATATTGTATTTTTTTCTTGGCTAATCTGTTTCACAACTTTAAAAAAAAAATTTTTTTTTTTTTTTTTTGCTTATTTCAGGAGGTGAGAAGGAAGAGGGAGAGGACGGCCAGGATCTGAGGAGAACCGAGTCGGACAGCGGTCTGAAAAAGGTATTTTTCTAAAACCTCTACATCCATAATCTTTGCAGTTAGTCCCCTTGGATCTTGTTTTGGATCTGACTTGCTGTCATTTCCTACTTCAGGAGGAAAGCACATTTTGAAACAAACCCTACAATTAGAGAGTCCCGTGATCCTGGCCGTTAGGCCCCTCGGGCTCAGAGCCTCGTGCTACGCTCCTCGCTGCCCGCGGCCTGAGCGGCAGGAGCTCCAGGTCAGCGGCCCACACCGGCCTGACCTTTCTAGGGGCTTCAGCTAAGTCCTGCCTCAAACCTTTGTTACCCTGCAGCGGGAAGCTGCGGTGGAAAAGAACGAAAATGGGAAGCCCAAGCATAATCGAGACACATATTGAACATTATTTTTGCCTCAGGATCTTTTTTTTTTTTTAATTCATGTTTTTGTTTTATAGGGTGGAAATGCTAACCTGGTATTTATGCTTAAAAGAAACAGTGAGGTAAGGGCATTACGAACTATGTCTAAGAATAGGATTTTGTCATAATTGCTAGGCTGGGAATGCTCGTCTGTCTTTTGCTGTTAGGAACAAGCTGACTCCTGGCTTCCATTTGTACACTTAGTGGTGGGGTCGCCACTTTCCTTACCTTGCTGTTTGCCTGAGCCCTGGGCATCATCCTGGAAGCGCGCCAGACCGTGGCCTACTAACATGGCCTCGGCTTCTCCGTCCTCAAGAAGCAGGCCTCTTGCTTTCTGGGAACACGCGCTGCCACGGCTGCTTGCCTGGCACCAGAAGCCACAGGTGTGGACCATGGCACCTCAACTTGTGGGTCACTCTGCGTGGTCATATCCTATCCTGCCAGGACTCAAACTGTGTTTTCTTCTCTGAGCTCTGCTTTTCACTCACTATGTGTCACTTTGAAAACAGCCATGGTGTCCCTCTGAAAACAGCCATGGTGTCCCTTTTGTTGGAGAGCTGTCTCTGGGGGCGTCTCCCTCCCCTTCCTCGGTTCAGGTCTGCTGACCCTGTCGGGGTACTGTGCCTCTCCCGCTCGTGTTCCCACTCGGGTCCCCGCTCCTTGCTCCACCAGCAAATCCCATTCCCACACCGCCACCCTCTCCAGACTGGCGTGACTCAGGGCATGCTCGGTGTGTGTGTACTTAATACGTGACACTGGGTTTGTGGGGCCTGTCAGGATGCTCTTGTTCCTTCTTGCTTCTAACATAATATCATAAGGCCCTGAGGAGATTGTTTTAAAATTTTAAATTAAAGGGAACTTTTTCCCCTTGTCCCCGCTAAGACGCAGGAGATATTTTCCATTGGTTGGCATGGCAGTGTATACACTGGCCCCTCAGTGTGTTTGCCTTAAACCAAATCCACTTACTCTCACACATACCATTGCTCTGTCTGCTGCTCAAATGAAATTTCACCCGTATTTTTCTGTTCGGTGACTTCCCCGGCCCCCCCCCCCCGTATTTCATGACAAGGGTCGGGTAAGAAAGTACCGGACCACGGCTTTTCAGGCATTCCAGTGCGGGTAACACTGCGGACGCCCAGCCACAGTCTGCTGGTCTTTGGTGACCTCTTTTATTAAGAAGAAACTGAAAAGAGGGTAAAAAGTGTGTTCTCAGAAGAACTAAGCATAGTAAGTTTTTGGTGTTTCGTTCTAAGTACAGTTGATTCTTGAATAACATGGGTTTGAACTCCCCGGGTCCATTTCTGATATGCAAGTTTTTTTAATAAATAGAGTGCAGTGCTATAAATGTTTTCCTTATGATCGTTTTTAGTAACATTAGTAACATTCTCTTCTCTAGCCTACTTTTATAAGAATATAGCCTATAGAACACATACCATATAAAGGTATGTGTTAATCGACTGTGTTATGGGTAAGACTTCAGGGCAACAGTGTAGACTATTTGTAAAGTTTTTGGAGAGTCAGAAATTATAAGCGGGTTTTCTACCGTGCAAGGGATCCGGCGCCGCAAGCCCAGCGTTGTTCAGGGGCCAGCTGTATCATAAAAGGAACATGTTCAGAAACAACAAAAAAAATGAGTAAAATAAGTCCACCCCCAAGAAATAGGTATTGTTAAATGCTGGGTGTTTATATTTCCATCCTTTTCTTCTACACAACGTATATTTATGTGTCTAAGTCTGTGTGCGTGTGAATAGTACCGAAATAGCTTTAACGTATCGTTCACACCTGTACCCCCTGCAGCATCGTGTCCTTTTTTCCTCCTAACACGTTAGAAGCACCTCCCCAGCGCCCGTGTGCACAAGCCTGCGCTGTAAGGGCTGCGTGGTGCTCTGTGGCTGCCGTGGTTTTACTTCCCCTGCAGTTTCGCGGGGGATTTGATGCACCAAGAACAGCTCCGTGTGGCGCTGCTCGAGAAAGGCGTGTGTGTGGCACGCGCCCCTTCCCTCTGCACAGGACCATTCTTGCTTTTCCTGGCATTGCGAACGATCCATTTTTTAACTGCTGTTTTGCTGGTTTCGTAAGTGCATGTGGTAGCTTACTTTCCATCTCTTTGCTTTCGAAGAAAGGTAAATCATTTTTCATAGGTCATAGAATTAGCCACTTATATTTCTTCCTTTGCCAGTTGCTGGTTTGTGTTGCCTTTTTTCTTCCTAGGGCACTCGTTTCTCATTGGACTATGGGAGCCTTTTTTTAAGTGAAGGGGTTTTTCTTGTGGCTTTCTGTTCAAAGTGTGTCTGCATTTTATATTTTAATTTTACATTTCACACAGGGGCCATGAAGGCGCACTGGGGTTGCTTGCCTTGCTTCTTCGAGAAACCTTCTCTGTTTCACGATCAGAAGAGACAGTCTCATGTTTTCTTACAACTCTCTTACGGTTCTTTTTTTACACTTAACATTTTAATCTGTTTGAATAGGTTTTGTGTGAGCCAGGATCCCAACTTAATTTTTCCCAAAGAGTCAGCCCATTTTCTCAGAGCAATTTGTCAAATATCCTTTCCTTCCCCGTCGATTTAGGACCTAGCTCCTTAGATGCTGAATTCTTGTGATTTGCTCTGGGCTTTCTGTCCCATTACACGTCATTTTTGCGCCAGTCATCTTAGAGAGCTGGAGCCTTATCACGTCCTGGCTGCATGCTGATGGCCCCCCTGCACCGTTGTCCCATTCGCTTGACCTTGTTTTGGGTCCCTGGGCCATCCGTACCCGCTTACTCTCTCTGGTGCGCTCAGTCCGGAAATACTCCTTTCGAGACGCGGCCCCTTGCCGTGGGTTGGGGGTTGGCTCCTGCCGCGCGGCGGGGTGGTGGGTTCGGAGACTCCGTCCTGAGGGCTGTTTCCGTTGCTTGCTTTCGCAGCAGGTCGTCCAGAGTGTCGTCCACCTCCACGAGCTCCTCAGCGCGCTGCAGGTACGGGCCTCTCTCTCCTCCCTCCCTCCCTCGTGTCCAGAGAAGCTGGAAGGGTAGTGTTGGCCGGGACCTTCGAGGTCTGCGGGCAGCTCGTGGGTAAATGGGGCCCTCGGTCGAGACACGACGGGCTGTTATGATGAGAAAGGGTACAACGTGCGGTGCTTCCAGTGTCTTTGGCCTCGGAAGATAGAATTGATGAATGATGGGTGAACTGGCCTGGGAGATTCCATGAATAGGTGCTGTAGCCTTGGGGCAAAGCCTGACGTGCTGCCTGGTTGGGTGCGTTCTTTAGCGTGATTGTGAGTTTCCATCTCGGTGTAGTTTGTGGTGTGGGAAGTCCTCCCCAAAGTAACTGCTACTTGGCACTTTCTGGGAATTATCCTCAAATTGTGCCCACTTCCTTTCTCCGAGCTGTACCTGATCCAGTGCCTACTTCCTCCCTCCTCCAGAGCGCACACAGCCCCCACCCCGGGCAGGGTCAGCAGCATGTGACTAAGTGTAACGAGGCTCCGGGTCCCCCCACAGTTGACGTTACTTTGGGCTCAGTTTGGGGGGGGAGGGGTGCTCCTGACTCCAAGGTTGGAGCGGAGCCCTGGACCGGACGCACCTGCACGCGGAGGGGCGGGGGCCGGACCTGTCGCAGCTCCCTCCGCCGCGTGTCCCCCGCAGGGCGTGGTGCTGCAGCAGGACAGCTACATCGAGGACCAGAAGCTGCTGCTGGCCGAGCGCGCGCTCACCCGGAGCTCGTCGCGCCCCAGCTCCCTGGTGGAGCAGGAGAAGCAGCGCAGCCTGGAGAAGCAGCGCCAGGACCTGGCCAACCTGCAGAAGCAGCAGGCGCAGCACCTGGAGGAGAAGCGGCGGCGCGAGCGCGAGTGGGAGGCGCGCGAGCGGGCGCTGCAGGAGCGCGAGGCGCGGCTGGCGCAGCGCGAGCAGGACGTGCAGCGCGGCCAGCAGGACCTGGAGCGCGAGCGCGACGAGCTGCAGCTCCGCAAGGGCGCCTACCAGTGCGACCTGGAGAGGCTGCGCGCCGCGCAGAGGCAGCTGGAGCGGGAGCAGGAGCAGCTGAGGCGCGACGCTGAGCGGCTCAGCCAGAGGCAGGCGGAGCACGACGCCCAGCAGGTGCGGGCGCCTGCGGGGAGGGCGGGGCGGGGGGGGGGCGGGGGCGGGGAACCCCAGGAGGACGCGGGTGGAGCACGCAGGCCCGGCTGTGCGCCTCACTCGGCGGCTGCTCCCGCGGGAAGCCCCTCGGGGATGAGCTTCAGGCGGGGGCGTCCGTGGGCGTCCGTGGGCGTCCGTGCACCCGTGGCCGACCCGGCTGACGGCGGACGCTCGTCCGGTGCTGCCGTGGGGGTGGGGGGCCGACCTGCCCCCCAAAGAGGAAGTTCAGGCAGCGTGTCCCAGGGGCGCGGCTCAGGGTCCTCGTCCCCGGCGGTGTGCAGGGTCTGCAGGGAGCCGCCTGCGGGTGGAGCCCACCGCGTCCCTGTCACCGCGCAGGGCCGTGCAGGGGACGGCACCCGAGGTGGGTTTCACGTCTGGCTCCCCACCCGCCTCTAACGGGACAGGCTCCCCCACGCCCTCAGCCCTGTAGTAATCCTGCAGGGAAGTCAGTCTTCACCCAAGCAGCTTTCTCCAGGGAATGGGGGTTCCTTTCCGGGCTGCCTCCTCCAAGGCGCTATGAATCCTTCGTGGTGCGGACACGCGACCGCAGTAGTAGGTTAGAGGTGACGTCTGCACACTGTCCCCGGTTCCACGTGGGGACTAGGCAGAAGTCCTGGATCTTTCTGTGGCACGGGCCCGTGGCATCCAAGGACGTGGGTACACCCCAGGCTGACTGCCACCCCCACAGCTGACCTCAGCCAGGGTGGAGTGAGCGGACCCTAGGGCTGCCACCCGCCCTGGCTTAGAAGCTCTTGTTTTGACCACGCGCAGGTTTCACGTCAGCACAGCAAGCTGCTGCGGATCCCGTCCTTCCTTCCGAATCCGGAGGAGTCGCCCTTGCCGCCTGTACCTTCCATAGCCAAATCGGGATCCCTGGACTCGGAACTCTCAGTGTCCCCAAAAAGAAACAGCATCTCTCGGACACACAAAGATAAGGGGCCTTTTCACATACTGAGTTCCACCAGCCAGCCAAACAGAGCCCCAGAGGGTCAGAGCCAGACCCCGGTGCCCACGTCCGCCTCCACCCGCCTGTTTGGGTTAGCTAAGCCAAAGGATAAGAAGGAGAAGAAAAAGAAGAACAAAGGCAGCCGCTCTCAGCCCGGTGGTGAGTGACACGCGTCAGGTCTCCCCACCGCCACGTTGCTCCTGGGTCCTGAAGGGGGGCGGAGGACAGGGTTCGACGGAGCAGGCCATGTGGCTGTGTCAGCTGCACCGCCGTCCCCCCGAGCCCACTTGCTCTGCCTGCGGAGGGCGGCCGGGGCTCCCGGCAAGAACGCTGGCTCAGCGGGCATCTCGGACCCCCTCTGTGCACATGGGTGCCGCGGGGAGAGCGCAGGTCTCGGTGTGGGGGGCATCTGTTACCCAGCCTGGGGGCTGAAACTCACTGCAGTGAAGACCGAAGTCTTCCCCACTTTTCTGTAGGTCTAGTCCGGTCATCAGTAGGACTAGTACTTGGTGAGCATTGCCCCAGGTCCGGTTAGCCCTGCGGGTGGCTGTGTGACGCAGGTGACACCAAGACCAGCGAACGTGGCTGCCCGCACTGAGCTCGTGATCAAATCCCAGTCCCCCAGGCTCCCAGCGTGTGCAGCCCTTTCCCCAAGTCCTCCCTCGGTTCCTTCTCGTCAGGATTGCTCCCTCCCGTCTCTGGGGGAGATCAAAGAGAAGTTTCTGTCTCGGGGCCTGTTTGTGAATAGGAAGTCCACGGCTTTGTCAAGTCGAAGGGCCCAGTGGACCAGCGAAGGGTGTCAGAGGACCTCGAGCTACTAACCCAGTCAGGGAGCCCCGGTGGGCGGGAGGGGGTGACTGCCCACCAGGCCAGCATGTGCTGCATCTGCAAGACTCGGGCTGAGGGGGAAGGGGAGGGAGTTCAATAAAGAGAGCAGTTTTTTTCTGAAGTTTTCTCCTTTCCCAGATGGCCCTATGTCAGAAGTGCCCACAGAGGGTGAAGAGATCTTCTGCTGACCCTGCCCTCTGCTGTGGCCACTGCCTCCTATCCTGGCCCGTGGTCCCCAGCCCCACCTCTCCTCCTGTTCCTGGGTGTGGTCTCTTACCTTGGACACAGAGCTGCCCCACGTCCTGGACCAGAGGGACAATGATCTCGAAGGTCAGGGTGGGACAGCAGACCCGGGCTCAGCGGCTCACACCGAAAGAAGACGGCCCAGAAGTCCAGGCGATGGCTTCAGACACGTCAGGAATCTCTAGAGGCTGAAAGAAATGTGGAAATAAGGTCTGAAATTCTACCTTTTATTTGAGGGTCACAAGCAACAGTCAAACGGCAGATAGTTTGGACTTGGTCTGTGTACATAGAGTTACCCTTCTGCATATACACGTGAGGTGTGCCAGAATTAGGCGCCGTCTGTAGCAGAGGCCTGGTCCGCTTGGCACAGGAGGTGCCACCCGGCCCTGCTCCAGGAGCACGTGGGCCCTTGCCTCATACACCCTCCTAGTCCTCCAAGGTGGTCCTGTCACCCTGCCCTGTGCACACCTCCTCCCTTTCTGCATGTTTCATTTTAAAAGGGATGGCAAACGTTTGTGAAAACCAGTAAGAGAAGGGGTGATGTGTTTAAAAAGCATATATATATATATATAGGTATATATATATGTGCATGTGTGTGTACGTATATATATGATCTATACCACCTTCATTTTGGTGTTTGTCATTTAAAAAAAAAATCTATAATTTTAACATGAAATCCAAAGAAATTATAGTCTGGCTTTCCAGGATGTTTGCCCACATACTCTGGGCACAGATGAAGTAGAGAAGTCTCCACGTCCTTACTCCTACATGGTGACACTTTTTGGTTGTCACTGACCCACAGCCTCCTTGACACCATCCCGAGGGCAGCAAGGTTGTCCCCACCCGTGCACTAAGACAGTGGCCCCCGTTGGTTCAGGGGAAGGCGTTCGGCCCCTCTGTCATCGTCATCATCTTTAGACCAGTTCAGCCCGAGAGGTCGCTGGCCCCGGTGTGGCTGGGAAACGTGCTTGTTCTATAGCGGGAGGCCAGGGCAGAATTTGATTTCTTGAAACGTTTCTCCAATCTAAAGGTCTGTTGGTTACTGTACTCCGCCCCCTCGAAGGTGTGCCCCAGACGCGGCCTAGTTTCCCTTCGGTCTCCCGCGCTGGCGGGGATCCCTGATTGCTGGAGGCTCGCTGCCAGTGCTAGAGCAGGACGGTTCTTGGAGGTCCTCGGAGCCCCTTCTCCCTGCTGGCCTCCATACTCCCCGCACGGGGAGACCCTGGAAAAGTCTGTGCTTTCCGTGTGCCCTTCCCTTCCTGCTTTTTGCCTCTCAGGAGCATGGGTCCTTGAACATACCTTTTAAAAAAACAAAATCTGTAACTTGGTGCTTGTTGATGAATTGCAAGCTGGCCTTGCAGGTGGAGATATTTATCTTTCAGTTTATTTGAAAGAGGTCTGGTTTAAAATTGTTAGCTTAGACTTATTTATTGTGTGTGTGTGTGTGTGTGTGTGTGTTGTAGGGGTGAGCATACCAGCCGAACGGTTTCCGCTGTCTGGTCAGTGCAGAACGAGAACAGCGCTGCTCGCTCCTCCGTGTCTGTCAAAGTGCCTTGAGGGCCCAAAGCAAAGTTAAAGGTTGGGGAAGGGGAATCCATTTCCTTCCCTCCTCTCACCCCCCACCTCCGCCTCGGATCAAGGGATGTCTTCTCCCTTGCCTGAGTTAAGAAATGTGTCACCTGAGTTACATTCACCTGTTTGTGTCTTAGAAATTTCTTAGCCTGCAGGAGCAGACCGTAAGAACAAAACCAGCTAATCATCTTCCGAACCACGGTGTACCCCCCCCCCCCCCCCCCCCCCCCCCCGAACAGTGAAAAGATAGGTTACTTCCTGGCCTTGGTCCACACTGCTCCGAGCCACAGCCACACCTGCCACGGTTCTCCTCGAAGCACATGGAGCGCAGGGTCTGTCCCCCTCCGGGGCTCACCGTCTCGCTCGCCGTGGGCCGCTGGAGGGAATGGCACCGGGGAGGGAAGGCTGCATCCTTCCTGCTCGGTGTCAGCGTAGGCCAGGCACCTGTGTTCCCTGAGCTGGCACTCGGTGCTGCTGAGATGGGCCCTCACGTCTGCTCGCCACTGACGCCCTGTGGACCCCGAGTTTCTGGCCCCTGCTGCCCAGCTTGATGGCAGCTTGAAAGTGTCTTTCACTCTCAGCTATGTTTGAGCTGATGTTTGGGCTGCTTTGCCGGTGGTGATGGTGGTGGCTTTGCCTGCGCCCACCCGCGAGTCCCTGAGCTCGCTCAGGTTCTGGGTAGACACGTGCAGAACCGGATTTGGAGGGGAGCCTCCCGCGTCCGCCCCACCTGCCCACCTTCATCGAAAGCCGAGTCCGCAGCGCAGAGAGACAACGGCTTCCTGGGAGCCGCGCTGTGACCGGTCTTTCTCGTCCCCCCGGAAACTGAACGCCGGGACCTCCTTTGCTGGGCTTGGAGAGCTGCCGGGATTGTTGCTGCTTGTGCTTGTCACCTTGAGAACCACTCTGGTTCCGGAGGCTGAGGCCTCATCTGGGCTCTTTTCTTGTGAGAAGGGGTCGTCTGCCCGGGGGACTCGAAGGCCATTCCCTGTTTTGTCGTCCAGGAAGCTCCGGAAAGCAAATGCCTGACACCAGCCAGAGCCCCCAGATTTCCAGAATCCAGTGAAGTTCCTGGAGGGAGGCTCAGTTCTGTCTCAAAAATTCTATCATCTCAGAAGTTGTCATCCCAGTTGGGTGACGTGCACTTTAAATGCTCTCATCTGTTGGCTTCTTTTTTGGGACAATCAGCTATGTGAACTTTTCTTCTTTGAAAACAGAGAGGGTTAAAAACATCCAAATTGCCATGATTCAGCCTTTGCCAACATTCCATTCTTTACCCCCATGAGAGCGATCTGTGGGGAAGAAATCCTTATCAAGATTTTTTTTTTTTTTTTTTTTTTTTGAAAAGGTACGAATCTTACCTTTCTCCCTCTTACGTCTCAGGGTAGCACCACTGACGTCGTCTCTTTCTCATTCTCTTCCTGAGCCCCTAGGAGCTAGCAGGAAGCACAAATTTTCAAGACCCTTGGGGTTTGTTGTACCTTTCCTGGGAAGGGGGGCAGGTATGGCGGTGCAGGGGTTTAATAAGGTAGACTCTGCCTTAAGCGAGGGGCAGAACCATACCTTAGAGGCCAGGACTTGATCCAGAAGTTGGGTGTTCACAGAAGTACTTAATATTTCATTGCTTGGTCTCTAAGGCTTCTCCATAGCCAGTTCTCTCTCCCCGAGGATTTGGGCGTTTGCCCCAAGGAGGGCTTGTGGAGGGGGCTGAGTCCACTCCAGTGTTGATGGGTGACGGGTTGTGCCCAGGCCAGCCGAGCCCTGGGAGGGTGTTGGAGACACTGTTCTGGTGATGGGCCTCTGGCCACACACACGTGGCTTGGACGGGCCCCCAGAGGGGATCGGCGGCCTTGGCCTGTGGAAGCCCGGAACCAGCCCTGTAGGTTAGATGGCAGTGGTTGAGTGACATGTGTGCCTCGCGCGCCCGCCTTCCGGCTGGACACACACATGCCAGTGGTGCTGGGCCCGCATCCCAGCCCCGCGCTCTCGCGCTCACTGACACACAGATGAGAGGAAGGCAAGGAGTTTGTTGTGGTTTGCGTCTTTTTTCTTCCAACATCGCCTAACATTCCTAGTTAACCAGAGCTTTGGGATCTACTGCCTGCTGGCCAGGTTTTAAAGTGGAAAGTATTTTAATGCTGCCATAAAAGTAAAATCAAAAAAATGAAAACAAAAAAAAAGGAAGGGAAAAACAAAGGCTTCTTTCCTTGTACTCATCTAATTTAATTTGTCAAAAGATTGACAGGCCTTGAATTAATTCTCCATCTCGCTAAGGTTGAAAGCCGGGCAAACCCAGCCGGCTAACGGCCTCCGGCCCCAGACCACGCCACCCTGCTCTGCACACCCGGCCGAGCCCGGCCTGTGCCGGGAGCCCCTCTCTGCCGCGAAGCAGAGGGTGCTGCCCCCCCAACCCTGCCTCTTCACCCCCGATACTCACCCAGCTTGAGTTCTCCTGCCTTTCGCAGCCACCCGACAGGGGCCCGTCCGGTCAGCTTGCCCATGGTCATGGTTCAGCCTGTGGTTTCCTGTGTTCCTTACCCGCTGCGGGCGTGGGAGACACCCGGACCTGCAGGAGGGCGATTCCCGTACACCTTATACCTCTGCTTTTGTGGTTTTCAACTGCTAGACAAACATTTCTGTGCTGGATTCTTTTAAATAAAAAGGGGTTAAAACCCAGATGCTGTATATTAATTTGTAATTATGTATAAAGTAAAGCAGTTTTAAACTGTAAAAAAAAATTTTCAGTGTGTTTTCTGGGATTTTGCCACAACATACTGGCTTTGTATTTTATTTATCTTCCTTTCTAGTTATTGGCTTCAGACTCTACTTGTAAAGTCCCCTCCACCCTTTCGAAAAATAAATGTCCTTTAAGTTTCAATTGTTGCCATGTCGTGTTCTGTCCCCGTGGGTTGCCTGGAGAGCGTCTCAGAATAGTCTGGGCTCCCGATAAAGGGGCATCCCCCACTCCAGTAAGAGCCCCCTCCCCAACGAGAACTTCTGTTTCTAATGTCCCTCTGGGAACAGGAGTCAGTCTGTAAACACTTAGCAGCTCCTCGGAGACATTTTCCTGGGGCCCAGATGCAAACCAGGGGGCTGGGGGGGGCGTGTCGGCATGGGGCTGGCCAGCCCTGAAGTCATGGGATCTGTGCCTGGAAGCAAAACTAGTTCCAGTCAAATCAGAGCAGTAAAGTCATGCTTTGCTATAGATTCTACTCTGTCAAAAGAATTAATGTGAGTTTGCCTTCTTTGACCTCTTTCTCCGCCCCATATGACCCCCCCCCCAGGAAGGGGACTTTGGGGGCACTGGCAGACTAGGAGGACCCTAAGCTCACCCCGTTCCACAAACACAACTTCGTAACAGTCACATAAGTGCAAACAGACCAAAGACTGGTTCCACAACTAAATGTGGAAATGAGGCCATATCCAAGAGGGGAGAAAAGGGAGAGACACTGTGGGGAGTGAAACAGATGACAGCCCTCCACGGGAGGGAGGGAACATGGCCCAGAGGAGGGGAGAGAGACCATTGCACCGGGGAGCCTGCACAGGGAAGACGAATCCCCGTGACATTTTGCTTTGAAAACCAGAAGGGCTGAATTTCCCAAGTTCTTAACAACCAGTGGGACTTAGAACCCAGAGCATTAACAAGTCCACCAGCTTGGCTCCGGGAGTCTGGAGGGCAGTAGGAACCGGAGTCCTCACCCTTAAAGAGACAGCACGACAAACAGCCCCGGGAGATAGTGTAGGATCAGCACTTTGAGACCTGCCTGGGAGGCAAAGCAGGGAGAGTTATTTACTAATCTCTGAGCATGTGCAGGAGGGGCAGAGATCACTGGGAGACTCTTCCAGAAACAAAGGAGCTGGCAGATGCCATTTCCCTCCTCTGCCCCCCAGCCTCAACACACAGCCGCCTTCTGGAACCAGGTGAGCTGACCTTCACCCCCCAACTTGCCGACACCCCACCCCACTCTCCCTGCACTGCAGCAGACCCACCC